AGCTCTTAAAGGAGGAGGATATAGAAATAATACCTGATTTATATTATCAAGGATATCTCCTTTTTGATAGAATATCCCTAGCTCTTAAAGGAGGAGGATATAGAAATAATACCTGATTTATATTATCAAGGATATCTCCTTTATGATAGAATATCCCTAGCTCTTAAAGGAGGAGGATATAGAAATAATACCTGATTTATATTATCAAGGATATCTCCTTTATGATAGAATATCCCTAGCTCTTAAAGGAGGAGGATATAGAAATAATACCTGATTTATAATATGAAGGATATCTCCTTTATGAAAGGATATCCCTAGCTCCCTACATGGAACATATTGATCCTCTTCTGCCTCATAATCGATCTGTGCTTTCAGATGAAGAATTGGAACCTTACCTAAACAAATTAAATGAGAAACAATTGCCAAAAATTAAGAAAAAATCAACCAAAGATGTTTCTGCAGATTTTTAAGTTAAAGGTCTCATAAAACTCAAGACATATTCACAAGGGTGTCCGTTAGACCAATGCCGAGCTAAAATAAATAAAATACTCTTATTTTTCTGTAAAAATTCAACCGCGGGTTATATTTAAATAGATTAAGGATTTATGCAGAAGAGTCAGAGGATAAAACAGCCTGAATTTATTTCTACAATGTAGCTAGATATATCCTTCAATCCTCATACATACTCTCAGATAAATGTTTAAAGTGTCAGCCTTGATTTAAGTGACCTCCAATGCATTTACAACAGTACACTTAAAATCTGTATATGTTTAAAGAATTTGAGCCAAGGCTCAAATATGGTTGGTTCCACTTAAAATGGATATTTAATGTTTCAAGATTTAAGCCGGCGCTCAATTAAAACCGATTTTTGGCGGATTTGAGACACGGCTGAAATTCATAAAATTCGGACTCTGAAGAGTAGAATTTTAAAATTGTGTTCCGTCTGTAAATCCACAAATCACTTTTTAGAAAATTATCAATATTTTGGTACATCTCCTCCTTTTTGCCAAGACAAAACTTTAAAGGGTACCGTTGTGATTCGGACAACGTCCACTTGAAATTTATCTTTCAGCCCCTTTAATCGATGAATATAAAGTTTATCCCATCCTGATCTTATTCTAAATTAGCCGAACATGATGGATGCTGCAAGAACAACAAGATAAAAACGAAGATTTAGAAAAACGGAAATGTAAAAATACTTCTCATCATCTAATTTATGGAATTTTGTTAAAATTTAAATTTAAAAATAAATGTTGAAAAAACTTTACCCCGTCCGTCCTCTGAGTCAAGAGGTATAGGAACGACCAGCATGGTCAGAGTTCCGGTCATTCGAGCCAGGATATCACACACTTCGTTTACGTTCTTACCACGCAGTTCAACCTCATTCACCTGGGAGAATACTAGATTGATGCACATCTTTATCTATATATATACTTTGCTTGTCTGTCTGTTCGTTTGTATCCAATAAACGTCGATACGGCTGAACCGATCGGGCCCAAATTTTGTGTGGGACCTCAAATGACCCCAGGGAAAGTTTATGGATGCTCAGAATTAAATGTCTAAAAAAATATTTGATTTCGAAAATTTTAAAAATTCACCAAAGAAATTGTATATCCGCAAAATTTTTTATTATTATTTTTACTCCTAAAACCAAAATCTGAACTTTTGTAAAAAAGAGAGATTATAAAAATTTCCTCATTTCTGAGTGGTTCATCGAGTTTTGGATAAATTATGCGAAAAAAATCAAACAAAATATTTGAATATTATGTTTTGTTAAAAAAATCAGTAAATCTTGAAGACATGACCTGGATCCGGATGGATCCGGATTTGGATCCGGATCCATTTTTTTCCAGTGCGGATCCAGGATCCGGATCCGCATCAAAATTAAATGGATCTTAAGCACTGAATGGGTGTAGAAAGTTCCTAGATTAATCCTAGATGAACCCCTGCTTTTAAACTGAAGGCCTCAAGATTTAGTTCTTAATAAAGTTTGTTCAAATCACCTCTAGAATTTCGTCTCCTTCATGCAGTAGTCCCGATCTGTCCGCTGCTCCGCCCCGTATTATCCGGCCGACAATAACTGCCTCGCCTTCATTCTTGACCGTGGCTCCAAGGGGTTCACTCGTCTTCTCTAGTTTAACCACCTTAAACAGAAGGGATGTGAACGCCGGAGTAACAAATAGAAAACCCGAAAACGTTCCTTTTATGAACAAGGGCCATCCTAGTGACATTATACTTTGATTATCATTATTATTTTTATTAAAAGACAAGGAAATAATTAGGGGGACGACAGTTGGGCCGCCTGGATGTCTCACGCAGGATTTTTAGTCTTATAGATAGATATTTGAGACGTACAAATTCAGAAAGTTTTTTATCCCCAACCCACCCAAAACAAATCTTATAACAAAAAAAAAATATCTTTAGCAGTGTTTCGGATCCGGATCCGGTCGGATCCGTATCATTTGGTCGGATCCGGATCCGTATCCGTATCAGGAAACGTTGATATGGATCCGGGTAGCGCCAAAAATTAACCTCTTCAAGAAGTGATTGATCGGCCTGTCCAAAGGATTACTCCAAAAAGTCCATATTTTTGTGTTACATTTCGGAATATATAATAAATATAGTTTATAAATTATAACCTTGCATAACATTTAATAGGGAAAATCCGATTCACAGAATCAAAAGTTACCTCGGATCCGGATCCGGATCCGTATCAGAGTCAGGATCCGGATCCATCATCACAGATGCGGATCCGCGGATCCGGATCCACATCAAAATGATATGGATCCGAAACACTGATCTTTAGCGACATTTATAAATTAAACATTAATGATAATAATTATGTGACGACGTGAACCAAGAAGAAGGGCAAACGTTGATACACGGACCTTTAAAAAAAGTAATTAAAGAGTAATTCCTTTCTCACAGTCTTACCTTTATATTTGGCTCAGCGTAGTGGGAAACCCTGTCTAAGATTACATCTTCTTCTCCAAGAGAATTAAGTAAACAGTATCTAGAACAAAAAGTATTGAAATTGAAGGCAGATTAAGATCCGGATTAGGAAACGAATGCATTTTTTTCCAGGAGCGGATCCGGATTCGGATCCGCATCAAAATCAAATGCAAAGCACTGTTTGAAAATTGTATGTAGCCCCATGAATTTTTTAAAGTACCTTCAAGTACCAGTTTTAAAACTATCAATAAATAGTGGGTTTCGGTGTTGTGAATTTTTTTTACTTTTTTATAAATGTGTATTGTGTACTCCTTGAAATTGTGACAATTTCAAAAAATAAAATTCTTAATGAAATATTTGAATGAAAGATTAAGACAATTTCAAAGAATATCCAAAAGGAATGAAGTATATCCAAGATTTGCTCTACGAAATTATAATTATAAGAAAATTGACAAATTTCAAGGAGAAAGAGGAGGAACACCGGTTGTAAATTTACAGAAATATTTTACATCATAATTTTATCCGCCGTTCTTTTACCTCTCCGCCAGTTTATCATGAGCGTAAAGAAGTCCTTCCAAAGATTCCTTCCTGAGTATTGCTGCTAGTTCCGCCGCGGCGGGTTCATGTTCAAGACCAGTTCCAGCTCCGCCATCTGACAGGGATAGACAATCCTCCGCCAGTTCCTTTAATAAAAATGTATTAGATATTCACCTATTCTAACCTAGCTTGCGCCAATCCTAACCTAACCTCCGCACATTAAAACCAAACCTCTGCCAATCCTTTAATGAACTCCGCAAATTCTAAATTGACCTCCACCAATTATTACCTAAACTCCGCCAATTCTAACCTAAACTCCGTCAATCCTAACCTAACCTTCAGTAACCATAAACTCCGCCAAACCTAAGCTAACCTCCGCCAATCCTAAAATAATCTACGCCAATACTACCTTAAACACCGCCATTCTATTCTAACCAATTAACCTCCGCCTGTCCTAGTCCAAAATCCGCCAATTCTAACCTAACCTTCACCAATTTAAACCTAACTTAGACCTCCTCCAATCCTTGATTAGACCTCAGTCAACCCTAACTTAGACCACCGCTAAGAAATATTTAAAAACGGTTAAATTTGACGATTTTTGCTTTAATTCCGGCAATTGCTGTACACTTTACAATTAGTAAATCAGGATTTCTGGAGATAAAATATAAAAAGATGGTTTATTCCCTTAAACTGTGAAAAGACAATAATATGACTTTGTGTTATATTTTTACAATTGAATGTAGTTAAAGTTTACGGCGACAAGGCGTCATGAGTTGGAATTAATTGAAGGAAAATTTGTACGTTGGCGAACTTATGTCATTCATCTAATCCGTATACGTCCTCCCAAACAGCTAGTCTTAAATTGACCTGTGCGTCCTTCCAAACACCTGGTCTTGAACTAACCTGTGCGTCTACACAAACAGCTGGAGGAGGTACAGTGTAGCACCAAACTGACTGGAGTTTATTATACACATCCAGACCTAAAGTACAATCAATTATTCAAATCTCAAGCACAAACTAATCAACAAGTAATTTATGTAATCAATTATTCAATGTATAATGTATAATTAGTAAATCAATCAATCGACCAAAACATATAAAAATCAATCAAATATTCATCAATTAAATAATCAATCAACAATTCAACAATACAAACATCAAATCCCACTAACCAACAATCCAACCACTAACCAACCAACCAACCAACCAACCAACCAACCAACCAACCATAAGCAACCAACCAACCAACCAACCAACCAACCATCAAAACAAACACCCGTGCATTTAAACTAACCATGCTATCCCCAAACCGGCCAACCATCCATGCAACTAAGGAACTAACCGACCTTTTATGAACAATTAAGATGCAAAACCACTTCACTCAAACAACATAAGAACCACCCTACAACCTTGGCAACCTAACCATCAACCATCAAAACGCCTAACCGCCTCAGCAACCATCCAACCAACCTATTTCAAACTCTGGCGTTTGAATAAGTTCCGCAACTCCGTAGAGCGCGTCCAGAGAAGAGCGCGGGAGCACGTTTTTCAATCTGTTAAGCGCGCTGTGCACCTGACCCAGGGACACCTAAAATATAGGATTCAATAAAGGGACTATTAACGTATTTTACCGCTTTTTGACCAACATTACCAACCCATGATTTCCCCAACAGAAGGAGGTTCAGTCACTTGACGTCCCTAGGGACACATTGCAAATTTTTCTCAACAGAGGATAAAATTGTGTACTGCTTCTTTTTTGGCAAATTAAAATATTTCCTCGACATAAGATTGGTCTGAAGAACCCTTGGTAAATTAAAAGTCCTGTTAAGTAGTTGTAATTAATTAATATCTGAACACAACAACATTGTTAAATGATTTATAAAACAATTCATGGAGTTTCATTAAAAAAATTGTACTTTAAGCCAAACGGCTGGACCAAATTGGCTGACATTTTTTGAGGGAACCCTTAGGTTCCCATGGGCAACATAGGCTAATAAAAAATCGATTTTTCTCCTTCAAAATCGATTTTTTTCTTTAACAATCAAAATTCAAAATGCCCTTGGACAATATCGGTTTAGCCATTTCGGCGTATTTTAGGAACAAACCAAGAAATATATGTAATAATGTATTATCAATAGATTATAATTATTCAAATTTCACCTGTGGGGTTTCCTCACCAAGTGTAGAAAAACCAGGATTATTAACACCTTAATATTAATATTATTCTTTTATAAATCTGTCTGTATGAGAAGGAACAACTAGTTTCAGGGGTTAATATTTCTGCAAGATTATCCCACCCCTCCCTGGGGGACGGGGTGGGATAGTATTAATGAATAAGGGGGGGGGGTATGAAAAATTGGACATCAAAAAGCAATAATCTTTTTGTTAATACTTTTCGCCCCAAAATAAATTGATTTATTCCTAAAATTATTTGCCCACAATTCAGCGAATAAACCCAGTTGGAAAAGAATAAACAATACGACCCTGTATTATCTAAAAAATCATTTTGTTTGCTTTGAGCCAATTATAATTTCTAGGTCTTTGATTTCTTGATACGTAGAAAGGGTATTGTCACTTTTCTGTGATTTTTTTTTTGAAACGCTAGTCATCAAAAATTTTATATCAAACAATGACCAAAGACGATCTATTGTGCGCTTGAAAACAATACTAATTTACATGTTAGTTGAGAATAACCTACTCAGTAATTATATTTGTTTATTTTTAAAAAAAACTTTAGAGAGAACTTAAAAATAAGTTCTGATTGTAAAATGAATAACTATCATGAAAATAAGCATTGAATTCCTAAATGTGTCTCTCTATGCCCACAAGGTACATTTGTTGGCATAATATTTTGTTAAATTTATCTCAATGCAGATTTCCATATTTTAAATTGATTTATAAAATTATTTAATAAATGCGTAGAATCAAACAAAATTAAATGTAGGAACAACGAGTAAAAGTAAATTCATTCGGTTCAGCCGTGCAGACGTTTAAAATCTTACCTTTATAGTTATTATTTGTGGAAGACATATTCGATGAATTCTCAAGAGCTCGCAACCTAAGATAAAATCATTAAAATATTTCAAATAAATGATATAAATATTGATAGATAGATATCAAGATAAAATGATATCAAAGATAGATAGAATGATAAATTCAAAAAAACAGGTAAAAAACAGAAGGTACGGATTTAACTTGAATCACTTGGCATTTCCCATTTCAAGCAAAAACGTTATTTTTGAACCATTTTCAAGAGACACGAGTATTTTACGGAAAAGAACATTTTCTTCTTGAACCTGCTTTAGTCTTTAATGGGTTCAGTACAATTAGTTTTCATGAACTTAATTTAGTTTATCTATAAATCCGTCACAATTAGCACCTATATTTATTCTTAAAGGTCAAACCTTGCAGAGTTTCTGAGTGAAGAGCGAAGAACAGCTTCTTCTAGAAGTTTGGCATCATGATTTGTTTTATGCTGTTTCAATTCCTAAATATTACTTGTTTTATGCTGTTTCAATTCCTAAATATTACTTGTTTTATGCTGTTTCAATTCTTAAAAATTATTTGTTTTATGCTGCTTCAATTCTTAAATATTATTTGTTTTATGCTGTTTCAATTCCTAAATATTATTTGTTTTGTGCTGCTTCAATTCCTAAATATGATTTGTTTTATGTTGCTTCAATTCTTAAGCATGGTTGTTTTTGCTGCTTCATTTTCTTAATATGATTTGTTTTAAGCTGCTTCAATTCCTAAGCATGATTTGTTTTAAGCTGCTTTAACTCCCAAATATGATTTGTTTTATGCTCCTTCAATTCCCAAACATGATTTACTTAATGCTGCTTCAATTCCTTAACATTATTTATTTTATGCTGCTTCAATTCTCAAGCATGGTTTGTCTTATTCTGCTTCAATTCCTAGATATGATTTGTTTTATGTTGCTTCAATTCTTAAGCATGTTAGTTTTTGCTGCTTCATTTCCTTAATATGATTTGTTTTATGCTGCTTCAATTCCTAAACATGATTTGTTTTATGCTGCTTTAATTCCTAAACATGATTTGTTTTATGCTGCTTCAATTCCTAATTATAATTTGTTTTATGCTGCTTCAATTCCTAAATATAATTTGTTTTATGCTGCTTCAATTCCTAAATATGATTTGCTTTATGCTGCTTCAATTCCTTAATATTATTTGTTTTATGCTGCTTCAATTCCTAAATATGATTTGCTTTATGCTGCTTAAATTCCTGAACAGAATTTGTTTTATGCTGCTTCAATTCCTAAACATCATTTGTGTTTTGCTGCTTCAATTCCTAAATAAATATTATTTGTTTTAAGCTGCTTCAATTCCTAAAAAGCATTAGTGTTATGCTGCTGCTTCAATTCCTAAACATGGTTTGTTTTGTGCTGCTTCAATTCCTGAATATTACTTATTTTATGCTACTTCCATTCCTAAACATGGTTTGTTTTATGCTGCTTCAAATCCTAAACAGGATTTGTTTTATGCTGCTTAAATTCCTAAGCTTGATTTGTTTTACGTTGCTTCAATTCCTAAACATTGTTTGTTTCTTCCTGCTTCAATTTCGGAACTGTTCACAATCTGTTCAGAAAATCGATGGAACTGTTCACAATCTGTTCAGAAAATCTTCTAACTTTACAAACAAAATTTCAAGTGACCCTTTCTGCAGAGCTGGCAATGCCGATTAACAATGGTATCCTTGAAACCGAAATATGATGAAAACTTTGGACATACAGTCGTTTTTCTGACTCTAAAAAGGCTTCTTATAAACAGGAATTGCGCAAGCCACTGTCGCAGAGAAACCGCAAATAAAAATGAAGTTTAAAGATACTAAAACATCCATGATGTCTAATTTTTTTCAATCAGAAAGAGATATCAAATGTTCCGTTTAAATCGGGGGGTCGCCATCTTTGCATTAAATTTGGAAGCAGGCTTTTACTCCCTTTAAGAATTCGTCATTACCTGTGTATATTTAGCTATCCTATCATATTGTGCTTGGGATGGTTTCAGTCCATTCAATACAGGGCTGTAATCTATACAAACAAACAAACAAGTTTTAAAACAAGGTATTTTTTCTTGAAAAATCGGTTTCCTCCAAAGTTAAGAATGTTTTTGGAACGTTCTTAGGGGCTTTATAGTACCCAATCACTCAGTACCATATACCAGGAACGTTAGGTTTAATTTTATAAATGCACAGGACGTCTAAAAAATGTACTTAAGATACCACAGTTCTGCTCTCATTATGGCTCGATTTCTAAATTTTAGGGTAAGTCTCAAAATTTAAATAACCTTTTCAACGATTGACACTGCATGACTAAAAGGTCTCTGCAGAAAAAAGTTTGGAAGTTATGACAGTAAATTCATGTTGGCCGGGCTATCACCATTGTATGATTTTTACATTTCAGGACAGTTTTGAAATCTAAGAAACATTTCTTATTATTAAACCCAGTCAGAGGTCCGTAGCATAACAAAATTTTAAAGTACGACAGTTTGAAGTTTGCCATTTTTGTACTGTCTGATAACTACCTGCTGAGTGGGGTTGACTGCTACCGTTAAGAAGCTCCGCCTGTCCTGATGACCGGCCTGAGTGGCGGCTATCCTCTCCGCCACGTCCGTCTCGACCCGGAAGATCTGGAGCCGGGGCTCTGTTGATCAATCGACCATCCTTCTCGATCTTTAAATGATCGCGGGACCCGGTGGGAGGTGGGCCCATTCCTATGTTAAGTTCTCATATTAATCGACACACAAAAAATGTAGATAATCATCAATTATTTATTCCTTGTTGTCTAAATCTAAGATGTGTAATGATAATTAAACTAAGTATATGTATTTTTAAATTCTATTTATAAATCATAAATGCCAACCCTTTATGATCAATAATCATAAAATCATATAATCATATATTTTTACGATCCTCCCAACCTCCTTAATTTTTCATTGTTTTACCGAGGTCTAAGTTATTGTTTGATAGAAGTTTTTAAATAAATAAACTTAGTTTCCTACCTATAGATCCATTGCTTGATGATTCTTTGCTCTGCCTGCTGGAGGTGCTGGAGTTCTGCTCCGTCCCCCTGGGGGAGAAGGTGGACAAGGTTGCTTGGTATCTAGGGTTCGAAGGAGGGTACCTACGATGGCAATCAATCAATCAATCAAATCTGGTATTTCGAAATTTAAAAGATCTGTAGTTATTTTCAAGTTATATAGTTACAACAAAATCCTTAAAAGCTTTGACTGAACAAGAGTGAATGAGATATATTTTTTTTTCGTACTTTATACAAATAATCCAGGTTTCTAAATTATTCCACTACATGATTTGCCTTCTAACTTCTCAAATTAGACATAAGCTCATAAGTAAGTATCTAATGATCCCCAACCGGGTTAAAATCCCCAAAGCTGACCCTATTGGGGATGAATTTCTCAAATGCAACTCTGAGTGCACATTTTACAATGTAAATCTTTAAGCTATATTTTTTACCTTGGCGGAGTTTTTGCTTGAGCAATAAAGGATGCTGGGACGTCTACCGCCATCTCCCTAAAATTTTATTTATTCAAATTAAACCAATAAGCCATAAACTTACTATCTTTAATAATGTATAGAAAATTAATATGTTATGGGAGAATTGTTTTACAAGTTATTTATCGACTTCATTCCCGCATTTTTACCAGGGGTGTATATATTTTAGAATCGATTTTTGATGATGAAGGGAAAAGAGAAAATTTGACATTTAAAGGCAACTTCTTAAATTCTTTTTGATATGTATTACCCAATAATTCGTCTTTTTTCCATATAAAAATCGTTAATTTTCCCATTACGGCAAATAAAATCTTAAAATAAGCATTTAACTTCAGGGAAAAAAATATTTTCAAAAAGGGGAAGGGGAAAATGCTTTGAGAAAATATATACCCCTGCATTTTACAGCATGGTAAATTTTACAGCATGGTAAGTTTTACAGCATGGTAAGTCCGCCACCAAGAGTTAGTTAAGAACTGAGAAAGGATTAGAAAGAAAATATTTTTATACATTAATTAAGAAACTAAACTGGGTCCTCTAATCCCTTAAAATATTTAAAAGTTAATATCGTAAAAACTGGCTAAATTTTCAATATTTAAAAATAAATTTAAATAATGACAATATTTAAAAAGTTGTCCCTGGGTGTGTGGACAAATTAGCATAAACAACAAAAAAGAGAAGAACAGTTGGTGCTAACTACTAAGTTTGATGAGGGAAATTGAGAAAAATTAAAATATAAATATTCGGTTAATATGATTTTAACAACGTAAAATATATTTTAAACTAAATATTAATTTTCATTTCTTTCATTATTTTTAGGTTTACATTGTGTCAAAAAAATAAGAACTTTTAATACTTGAGATCAGTGCTTAGGATCCGGATCCGGATCCGTTGGATCCGCAAGATTTTGGCTTCCTGGATCCGGATCCGCAAAAATATGCGGATCCACGGATCCGGATCCAAGGGGTAAAATATCAACCAAAAATTGCAAAAAAAATCTTTTTTACTCCAAAACACCAAATCTGAACTTTTGAAAAAAAGAGAGATTATTAAAATTTCTTCATTTCTGAATGGTTCATCAAGTTTTAGTATAAAAATAAGCGAAAAAAATAAAACCAAAAATTTGAAGTAATAACCTGGATCTGGATCCATTTTTTTCCAGTGCGGATCCAGGATCCGGATCCGGATCCGCATCAAAATTGAATGGATCCTAAGCACTGCTTGAGATAGGTAATGATATCATCATTTAAACATACTCAGTGGCAGTGCTTAGGATTCGTTTCATTTTGATGCGGATCCGGATCTTGGATCCGCACTGGAAATAATGGATCCGGATCCAGGTCATTTCTTTACTGATTTACTGAATTTAACAAAAAATAATTTTCAAATTTTTTGTCTTATTTTTTTTGCATATTTTTATCCTAAAACTTGATGAACCATTCAGAAATGAGGAAATTTTTTCAATAGTTTAGATTTGAATTTTAGGAGTAAAATTTTATTATTGCAGTTTTAGGTTGGATCCGGATCCGTGGATCCGCATATTTTTGTGGATCCAGATCCAAAATCTTGTGGATCCAACGGAAACGGATCCTAAGCACTGCTCTGGGGCATAAGAGGACGAACTTATGCGGACGCAAAAATAATAAAACCCAAATAGAACGCACAATAAGGATTCAAAAAAGCAAAAAGGAGGCTAATTGCGGACAAACTAATGAACTGTAACTGAAAACTGAAAACATACTAAACATATAATTCAGCTTTGTAAAATACGAGCTAATAACAGGTGATGAAGAATTATACCTATTCCCGTTTTCGAACTCCACCATGATGGTATTATAGTTGGCGGAACTGTAAACTTTACTACTAATATTCTCTTGGCTTGATCCACTGCTCCCGTACCCACCTAGATAGTACAGTAAGTAAAGCACGGTACAGTAAGTAACGCACAGTACAGTAAGAGACGCACAGTACAGTAAGTACAGTACAGTAAGTACAGTACAGTACAGTACAGTACAGTACAGTACAGTACAGTACAGTNCTTACTGGGCCGAGCGCTGCGGCCACGGGATAGGTTAGTTTAGACACTTTCTGGGCCGAGCGCTGCGGCTAGGACAGGCTAGGGGGCCGAGCGCTGCGGCCACATGGTCAATTATATCCATATGTCTAACATATAAGATCCATGTACAAAATTTATAGGAGGGGGGGGGCTGGGGGGGGTCCAAAAATCGTTCTCTAGATTAATATACCGGGAGGCCGTGGGGGGGTCGAAAATCGTTCTCTAGGAAATTACCCATTGTAGGATAGAGGGGGGATGAGCGGTCAAATAATCTTTCACTAGGATTGAGCTAACTGTTCCTTTTCCCCACGTCTCATGACTCACATTTTGCGCAAATTATTTTGATCATGAGTCAACTTAATAATTTTCCAATAAACAAAATGTAAGATTAATTTCTAATAACACTTAAATTTACCTTAAAATACATGTGCTACAGTCTTACTTTAACCCATTCCAAAACATAAATCTATTTCTGAAATGAAGTTCATGAATTGTATTTACATATCTTATATTTGTACTTTCACTTTTTATTTCTTACGTCCTTGAATTCAACTTTAAAAAGTGTTATGCATTATACCAATTAAATTAAAATAGAAAACGTAGACTTTTGTACTTTGTAAATTTACATGATCAACCTGTCAAGAACTAGAACGTAAATTTAAATGAAAATTACATCTAGACAGGTAGTTGTAAAACGTTAATACCAAAAACGGAAAATTCCTTGATTCACTGTTTATTCCTTAAATCGCTAAAGCATTTCTAATATTGACAATCAATAATGATTATTAATATATTACGCAAGGTAAAAATGGGCAGTGCCCATCTCTCTCGCACAAACAACGGGTGTATATCAATTAACACTTTTTACCTTGGACCAGAAACCTGTTACAGAAGAAAGATGGCGGCTGAAGCGGACAAGTCGTCTTCGATAAAATAAAAATATTCGAAACAGGTGATCTGCGGGATCTGTGGTTAATTAAATAAATAAAAGCGGTAAGGGAAGAATTTGGGACTATTCTTAATTATCCGTGCGGGGAGG